AATAATAATAATAATAATAATAATAATAATAATAATAATAATAATAATAATAATAATAATAATAATAATAGTAATAAACAAGGTTATCGATGTACCAGAGGCATGCATGACGTAGTATGCTTACAGTAATTGTCAAGTTGCTATATCCAGCCTACCGAATTGTTTGGTCTATTCAATCCTAGCTCATCAATTTTTAAGTAATTGAACAGTTCAAATTCAGTTAGCTTAATTCAGTCCAGTTATATATAGTAGTTTAATAGTAACTATATACAATTGATTGCTATAAAAAACTTTTTTGACCCAGCAAAAATACTACAGCAGTCTCAGACTATTATCTGGTTAATTCGAGGTGTAAGGAGAAGAGAAATTTGTTTGACATAAGGTGCTCAAATTGTCTCGATTACTAGATTTTTATATAAGAATTTCTCATATTTAAATATTATCTACAATATCTTAACAAAGTTCTATCTCTAGTCACATAAACAAGACTGCAGAAATATCGCTACTCAGTAAAGTCTGAGTAAGCAATTGAGTAAGATAATATGAAAAAAAAAAAATGAAAAAAAAGTTTAGGATTTGAAATTTGGTTGATGCTTTTAACTTATATGCACTGTACCCCCAAATAATACAGGTATTGTAAGAATTATCAAAAAAAAAAAAGTCTTTACTATCCTAACAAGGGCCAAATGTCGCGAAAAAAAAGCACTATTAACTTTATTATAACATACCGACATTCGAAGAAAAGACAAAAGCATATAACTAATAGGATTTATTCTATAACAATGCAAGTATAGAAATTAACGCTTGAATAAAGTAGTCCAATGAGGTGGAATGCCCCATCCGTGAAGATTAGCAGATCTAATATAGCCGTCCATTGCCTCCTGAAGATTATACATGCATTGAAAAAAAGAGTCTTAAAAAAAGAATGACAAAGATGAATAGAAATATAATTACTTACTCGTGCATTATAGTCTCTTCTCCAATCATGATCAAGTCTTGCCGGTGGATTCAAAGAACTTAATGCTAATTTTACCTAAACAAAAGATTATTATATGTGAATAATCAATTATTCGATGTTGATGTACGGTTATGTGTAAATGTAACGTTTTGGCATACCTGTAATAATACTGCTTCCATTGTGTATTCTGGATACCAACCTCGGTCATGAGAATTACCCAATGTTAACAATTCCATACAAACGGATCCACCTGCTGTTACCTATTTTAATTCAATCACTTTTTAATTATCATTTTCATTAGTAGATTATTATAGATATTAGTACTCACATGACCACCACCGCCATTCATAAATCTCAAAAGTCTTGGTCGAAGGACACGAATATAGCTATTTAAAAAAATCGAAATTTAAATATGAAATATTGTTGTACAAGGTGATGAAATTGAAAATTCATATTAAAACTACTTTTAAAAACATACGGAGGCAAATTTGGAAAATCAGGAGCAAACCGAACTTCAAGTTCAATGCATTCTACATTATGTCGTGCCATATCTTGGGCCAATGGAATAGATGGATCAAAATGTTTAAGTTGAACAACCTTTTAAATGGTTAAATCAACACAAACATCTATTATACATGCAAATACGAATGAATAAACGAAAATAAAATTATACTAACCCATTGATAAATAGACTGCAATTGATCAAGCTTTACATAAAAACCCAAGTCATTAGAAGAAGTGTCCTGTTTATGCACAATTAGTCTCAATTCTCGATAAAGACGTTGTGTAGCCTGCTTAGTCGATGATGCTATAGAAAGCAATCATAAGAATTTGACAATTAATGATTAGTCGCAATTCGTTGAAATTAATAAGATTACAAATTTACATGGAAGAGGTAAAAGGCTCGGATCAAATTCAGTACAATCTAGTCGGTAAATAAAATAGAAAAATAATATTTAAATTGATTTAATCAGAATCAAAAATTAACAAATAAATTTTTTCTGCTAATCACATGAATATTTAATAATAATCATCATTTTTACCCGAATCTTTTTGGATCTCCTTTGCGTTTTTTTTCGATTTTATTAATTTTCGTCCCTTTGAAGCCATATCTACTTAATACAAACCAGATATAAGTATCATAGTCAACCAGAATAAATAATAGAATAATAAATTATTAATATCTAACCTAGAATTAAAATATCCAAAAAATTTAAATGCACAGCACGGAAAAACACATGTAATGAAAGAAAGGATTCTTCGTTTTTTTTAGCAGATGTAAACGGTACCTCTATAAAGATTAGTTTAAAGTCAAAGGTTGAAGTAGTTCTTCGAAATTGCGAAATTGAATATAGGAACGTATATATATATATTAACAAAAATTATTACAGGATTAAAGATGATGTTTAACGGTAAATAAAGCAAAAACATCCCTTTTAACACCGGAATGCAGATAGGCAACTGTGTTACACTAATTAGAATTTATTACGTACGCACTGCATACTAATATCAAATCACAGGTTAAAAAATACTGAATTTGGGTCATTAGGAGTTTCAAATTGAGTACAGAATACAAAGAACTCCGTTAAAGGAGCCGAATACAATTTTATTGTTATTAGTATATATAGAGTGGTTTTTTTTATCGACACGATTTCTCTCAAGGATATTGAACAGTTTAGCCTGCCAGCCAAGAAATGCTAGCCAAAGACGGGATAAGGCGCAGTATTCTATATTGAGCTTGTTACAGAAAGCCGTTTAAGTAAAATCATTAAAACTCGATGATTGATTTCGATTAGGCAATGTGATTCTTATTTAAGATAATGACTCTATATCTATTTCAGTACTTTTATAATGAATCTCATTCATTTGAAAATATTAGCGTTAGCAATATTCTCGAGAGGTTACAGTATATCGATGTATTACCCAAGCCATGTGATAATTAGTATTACCTAGCTTTATACGTGTTAATAACCGATAAGGAAAACATTGATAAACCCGGTATTTTTCACATACTTACATACGAAAAAGGATATTTAAAAGAGGATATCGGTGACAATATATTTTTTTTATTTTTTTATATATACCTTTCGATGAGTTTTTTTATTTTTTTGTTAAATGACCAATGACTAAAAATAATATCGTTACGTAGGTGTGTAAGCAAGGACTTTAATGTTTGTAATGCAAATATTATAACTGTAATGACAAATGAAACTTATAGTTCTCCTACCAGTAATTGTTTGGTTAAAAATTCGGAAATTTTAAATACAAAGCCGAATGGTGCTATTTATCGTTATCAAGTTTACTATATATTTAATTTTAAATTTTTACTTCAAATTATTAAACTTCATTTTCATTGAGTTTGTACTATATAGTAAATTACTGTGTACAACCATTTACCGGAAATTACAATTATTTTGTCCGTATCACTACACAATAGAATTCATATGAAATGTCCTAGCACTAGAAACTGACTATTAAAGTCATTGGTGAGAAGCACCTTGAGATTGTCTTTATACTAAAGCCATTTATAATTCATAATTATAATTACACAACATACTTGTAAAAACTATTTGTTTATACTATATACTTATTTTAAACCATTAGAAATGAAAAAGCGAACTTTCCGTAGACCCGGAATATTAGGCCGACCGGGTAATGAAAACAATTTTAATCCTATAAATAGATTTTATCACGTCAATGCCCGAGATTATCCGGTTTGTGATCGGTTAATATGATTGAATTTAGCTGATTTTTTTTTTTAGTAATAGAGCAGTTTTTTTCTAACGAATTTCAACCTTCAAAGACATGTTTTGAAATCGATCAACTAATTGCCAAAATAATTTCATTTAAATTTAGAAAACTTTCTGATTATTTACAGTAAAAGAAAGCAAATTGGTTAGTTAGATCTAGTGATTGGCGCCGTAATCATGTGATGCTAATTGTCACGTGGTAAAATATATAAAAATCAACAATCTAATTGTTGATTTTTATATATTGTATCGTGTGACAATTAGCATCACATGATTACGGCGCCAATCACTAGTTAGATCACATTGAGATTCCGAATCACAAATTGAGACTGTAGGAGTTAAACAGAGTTGTAAAATTACCATAAATTATAATAATAGTAAATTGCCCATCACTAGGTTTTCTGACAATTACAGTATAGTTACATAGGGGCTTATTCATTAAGACAAATATTTTGAATAAAAATCATTTATTTTGTAATATATATACAAGCGAAAAAAAAGCTACAGAATGTATTTTATACTGTATATAAATATAAAATATTAGATTATAAAATGTTAAATATATACAATATCTATAAAGATTCTCAATATATCAATACAGTATATCATAGACAAAATTTTCCAATGAAACAACCCTAATAATTGCTGCAAAGAAATTTAATGAAGTGTTAAATATAATTGATGTAAAAAGAAAATCAAGATCATACAATTTATATTGCAAAACCGACATAAATAAAGATAATTTACCTTAATGCTAAAATATGTTCATTTATTTGCATGAAGATTGTATGATTTGCACTTAAAAATAGGTGAAACTCATTTTTCTATTATCTAATTTTGTGCCTGCCTCAATACAGATACAAACTTTTATAACTGAATAATACGTGGAACTGGGTACTATATCTGTTATTGGATGATAGTGATAGGACTTCCTATCAATAACACCCGTAAATCACTGATTATAGCACCCTTGCTCAAAAATACGGAAATATTATTTCGACTCAAAGTAAAAATTTCGACCATTTTTCAGTACCCGGGGTCTTATTCAAGAATTCTATTTTTAAAATTGAATAGTACCCATGGGTACTGTGTGAAGAACCGGGTACTATATCTGGGGATATATCAAATTAAAAGTAGAAAATCATTATAGTTATACCCCCGGGTCTTATTCAAGAAACAAGTTGGTGGTAATCTTAATCATGGGGGTATTATTTGGGGGATACTGTAAGCAGTGGGGTTGCGGTAGTTTTGAAGATTTAAGTCGGGTTTATTATGTTTTTTTTTGAAACTGGTTTCAAGCTTATTGAGCTTTGACGATATCCAATCAACCCACTTAATAGAATGTTCAATCAAATCGGACTTCTATTCGGCAAATTTTCAAAAAATTTCGATGATTTGTCTTAAATCTCAAAAACCTTCGATTAACTTTTATTTATAATATACCGGGTGGGTGAAAAGTCTTTTTAAACAGGACCCTTTTTTTTAATCATCATTTTTAACGTTTATATTATATTAATTGTATTTAAAATTAAGTACTATGAATCTTAGCGGGAGATAGTAAAAAAAGGGTCCTGTTTAGAAACTTTTCACCCACCCGGTATATATTTATTTATATATATTCGTAATCTAAAAAAAAATAAAGATTCGTAAAACCCTTAATGGACTTAAATATAATATTCATACAAGTTAGTTTTCAAGTTTCAAATTTAAACTAAAATAGTTCAAGCAAGAGATATACTGTAAGTTCGTTTATTTAATAGGCTAAATTACTACAGTCAGACCTCTCGAAGTGCACCCTTGGGACCACACTTTAATAACGTGCATATAGAGAATAATAAGAAAAAGTGCATTTATGGAGGTTAAGTATATATTTGGGCCGGCACTTGAGCGTGCATTTATAGAGGGTGCACTTAGAGAGGTCTGACTGTATTTGGATTTTTTTTTTTTTTTTTGAACACGTAAGTTATAACTATCCACTCCTACGAGTTACCTGGATACAGTCAGTGCACCCTCTATAAATGCACACCCTCTCTAAATGCACGCTCAAATGCCGGCCCAAATATATACTTAACCTCCATAAATGCACTTTATTATTCTCTATATGCACGTTATTAAAGTGTGGTCCCGAGGGCGTGCACTTAGAGAGGTCTGACTGTATTTATAAACTACTCAACTATTCTAGTTTTATTCTTTACGACTATTTTTTAAGTATATATATAAGTTTGCATTTTAATATTTCTTTTTTGAGAATTTAATTTGATGCACCTCAAAAGTAATAAAATCAATATGGCTTAGGTCTTATTCAAGAAACAGGTTATGGTGAGTATACCCGGTCTTAATCAAGGGGGTATTGCAGTATTTTTGTAAGCAGTGGCCAATGGTATAAAGAAGCAAATTATTTTTTATATTTAAACCAAATGGTAAGACGTATTGTAAATGCGTTTACTGGTAGATTATAAACAAGGTTCAAAAGCATGTATTAGAGAGTCCGTATATTAATTTGTTATGGTGAACATTTTCAAGACACTACTAGGAAGGGCATACTAGAAAATATAGGTATTGTTTAAATGGTTAACTAATGCAAGCATTTTTTAAAGTTTTATCAGTTAGCTGAGAGCATGTACGGGACATATTCAACCCAACATTTTGTCTTTTTAGTAAATCTCTATTTATGAACATCTTAGCACATTTTAGATAGAAAACTATTATAACATGTATGGTCTTACTTTATTATGGAAAATCTTTAGAGGCGTACATTTACAAAATCGGCAATTCTTGAATACTTCTTAAAAATTGCACCAAAATTTAGCTTTTGAGTACCCAAAATATTTACATTACCAAGTACTTAAAAGTGAAGTTAATATTAAGGAAAATAATACGAAAAAGTCATTTACATACATAAATTTTCATAAAAAACTATCGTAATTCCAAAACTAATTAGATTCTCAAAGAGAATGCTTACAGAAAAGGTGTTAAAATATCAAATATACTTAATGAAAAAGTTTAGTAATGAAACACTATTTAAATATTATATAAAAAATGATGTAAAACTTATTTTACTATGTGTGTTGATATGTTTATTTATAATATACATTTGGGGGTTTTTTTTTTCTTTGTTTTTTTTTTGTTTTTTCTTCTTTTTTTTTTTTTTTTTTTTTAATTCGATATAATTATGTTCACCAATTCACTTGCGTATGTTGCATTAATTTTCATTTTTTCTTTAGTTACCGTTAAGAAAGATCCACATTCCATCAAGTTTGTAAACCCAATTTCTTCAAGGTATGATGGCATTTGATTTATTCTGCCGTTTGCTGATGTAATTGAATTTTGTCTGCTTCCATATTGCCCTTCAGACGATACAACAGTGTACAAAATGGATTGAACAGAATCAAGAATTGGTATTGTCTCACTGCTATTGATTATTTGTGACATCTTAGGAAGTAAGCTGTCATAACTGTTAAAAAGTTAAGATCAAATAATATATTTAATATTAGAAACAAAGTACGATTCTTTATAAATAAATGAAAAAAAAAGGATACACCAAAGCAAACACTTCAGGTAATGCTACAGCAGCTTCTGAGAGAAATCCATAAAGAAATAGTCTTTCTGGTTCATTCTCTGCAGTTTGCAGCATAGCCACCATTAAAGAAATTAATAATAATCCTGTCTGATTATCAGGAATATCCAATTTTTCAAAAATCTTATAATATGTTGTTCCAAGTTCAGAATTTTCTACTTCAGTATCAAAGATTCCACAGAGCCAGAGCAATTCTCGCATATCTGCATTTTTTGCTGATACCGGTAAAAGAGCTGCTAGATATCCTAACATACTAGAATCAATTATATTGTTCGTTTGCTCACCCAACACACCTTTTGAAGCAATGTCCAAGAAACATGTAAGTACTGATTGTGTGCCGGCTTTTGTAACTGGATTTTTTAACCCTTTTAGAAGTGTAGCCGCTATTGCAAATGAAAAGTGATTGTAATTAATTCCACTTTCTTTATCCATCTTAATGGCAATTGATTCTAAAGGTTCTCGTGCTTTAAGAAGAACAGTGGCAATGTTTTCAGTTTCAAAACAATGATGATTATCTAACGTTTTAAGAACTTCATGTAATAAATTAATTGCACTTGGAAATATTGGAATATGACCTATTTGAACAAGTGACATTGCTAGCCAGAACATTCGAATTAGATAACGGCAATCGGGAGTTAAATTTTCAACAATGTTAGTGAGACACATTATGATGCTGATGATGAGAGAACAATCATTCTCAGTAAACTTTGCAAGTGCACCAGTTAGTGATACTAGTATTTGATACAGCAGATCATCATCAACTTCTTCACGAGCTAGGCAACCAAGTGTTACAAATGCTCTTGGTTGTATTGCTGGGTTGGTTTGAAATGCTGTGCTCGTGACTAGACCCATCCACCGTGATCTCCACATATTTGACATATCTAAAAATAAAATATTAGATTATTAATAAGTAGTAAAGAAATGCATGTTTATAAAAATTTAGCCAAAACTGATCATTTACCAACAGACCCAGCACCATATATCATTACTTCCAAGAGTGCCTGAACTATTTTTTCAAGAGAAGCAAGAGGCATTGTATCTGGTATATCATTAGCAGATTCCTGGGATATAACGAATGCGTTTCCGGATACATTGTTTAAACCAAAAAAGTATCGGAAATTTGGTTCAGATAGTTCAGTTAATAATAGATTCAGTTTTTTTACATTCGCCTCATTTAATGGCATTGACGTGCACAATGACTGAACCAAATTTACGATAAGTCCATGAATTGATGCTCTTATTAGGGGCGGACCAGTAGCAACAAGTATTGAAATTATATAAAATAGTTCCGGTAGAAACATATGAACATTGCGATTATTAAATGATAACATTAAATTAAACCGGACTAAAACAGCTATTTCCGGCCATAACGGATTTTCTGTAAGTGTTCTTGTTGATTTTAATGATGTTCGTGCAATAAACTGATTTAATTATTTGTGATTTAAAAAAATAATGAGAAATACGAATATAAAGATCAGTTGGGCATTTACTAATATTCGAAAATAAATAAATACCTGTCGTAATTTTGCAATTATTTTTCCGCGAATATTTATGGAAGATAGTGTTACAATGGTATTGGCAACTGTTTCGGATTGCACTGAGCTTATACCGTGGTGCACAGCATATTGAACAAATTCATCGATTATTATATTTGTAATTTCGTCAACTTTTCCTAAAGGTTGCCATATTTTAGATTGAATAGCACTATACATCTAATTAAGTATAAGGTTATAATTTGTTTAGAAAAAATTGTATATAGAAAAAAATAAATAAAATATAAGAATTTATCATACTTCATTTTCTTTTGCCGTTAATTCGATCAAGTTCTTGATTATTTCTCTTGTTTTATCGCATTGATTTTGATTGTCTGCTCCATTTCTGCTGAAATATGCTAAATTTGACAACCAAGGCGCCATGTATTGAAGACACAAATGTTTCAAAGGTGTATTAGACTTATTAAATCCAACAAAGAATTCGGATAAGAAATCCTGTGTAAGATGGGGTTCTGATTGCGCAAGCCTTTCACTTAAATTTACGACAAAACTTGTATTATTTGCCGGAATACATAATCCTTTAAAAGAATTATATACACTTATGATTAACAAATTTAATAGTGAGTGAGTATTTAATAATACGGCAATAAAATACCTTTTGCAGCAAGTAATTGACCACCAACGTCAAAATTAAATATGAGACTCAAAGCTACGAGTAAATTGTATGCTGCAAGTCTCAAATTTGCATCATCACTTCCTATGTTAAGGAGTGCCATATTTAATAGTGTTCCAGGGACATCATTAGGTCGAATTACTCTCTCAGTGATATTTGTGGGTTTTGCTATTTGGTATCTAGCTTTAGAAGAACGAATAGCCTTTTAAAATTAACATAAATGATTAATAGAGATGATAAAGCATCATTGGTAATAAAAATAAAAATATGATAGATACTTGAATAATAGCTTCTTTTTTTGGACTTGTAAAAGCAAGTGTTGGTTTTCCAAGGTCTTGTTTGATAATGAATTCATCATCATGCCTGTGAGTAGAAAGGACAACGTCTTCGATTTCTGAAATATGATAAACGTCATTGAGGTAACAACTTAATCCATTAAATATTTCTTGTCTTCTTTGCTAATATAATTTGAATGCATACAGTAAGTCTCAATGTTTTAAGCAAAAGAAAATTATAAAAGAAAAATTTATCCATACCGTTATTACTTGAATTGTTTCATTACTAATCTTCATAGTAACAGGAACTTGCATCCTATAATGTGAAATTCTTATTACAGGACTAAATACCTGAGGCAGATCAGTATCAAGTTGCACTGGGAATAGAACAAGAAGTCTAATTTAGTGTACACAAGCTCAAAATTTTTTTTATCATAATTTTGTCAAAAACGACACTAACTTGTTCTATTTGGCAATCTAACATCTTGAGGTGCTATATATTGATGAAGTTCTTCCAATGTGCTGAAAAAGTATGTTTTCTTACTAATTCTGCTAGGCAATGGCTGTATTTAAAACCATCGAAATTAAAGATAATAATTGATAAAAAAATCAAACAACTTTTAAATAATAATTCAATTTTAAAAGGATATTTCCTAGTTTTTTAATAAATTTCTTAAAAGAACTATTTGGGTTATAAAAGTACAAAGCTGCTAGGTTTTCGATGGCATTATATGGAAGAATTTGCAAGAATGCCTGCACCCATTGATATTGTACTTCATTTGCTTGCCCAAATTGTGTCACATCAACTAGCAGTTCATAAGATTTAGAAATATATGGCTCGATTACCTACAACAAACATATTTGTAAAGTAATATTTATTGAAATGAAACCATTGACAATAGAAATAATAATATACATACTTGAAGAATATGATACATTAAAAGATCCATATCAGTGGACTCTGCCTCGAATCGTCTCAATATTAAATAAAATACTTTTCTTCTTTCCTAAATAAGAAAAAGAAAACTTGTTAAATCAAAGATATTAGAGTTGTTTTATTCTCATTTACTACGAACCTTCGATAAGGCACCATCGTAAAATAATGATTTTGATATTATAGAATCAACTGAACGATTGGCATTACGATGCATAAACTCAGTAAAGAGTTGATGATTTGTTTCAAAATGGTGATTACTATGGCTTTTAAAATCTTTCTTTTGATTCTCAGCAGGAGGACCAAGATGAGCTAATATTGTAGAAATTTTGTCCCATGCTTTTTTGCTCGCTTGAGCTTGATCAAGAATAGTATTTGCCGAGTTGGCAGGATTTATAGACTTAACACGACGTGTCTGTAAATCTCTGGCCATTTTTTCTTGGTTCTCAAATAAATATTTATGAAGTGCCTTTCGATCCGTATCATCCAATTTACGAATATTCCCTTGATCACCCGTCCTTGTATCTGCAAATGATGGAACATTTGGCAATTTCTATGAAATAAATTCAAAATAAATGAATCATTTAATACTTGAATGTAATTTTGCGTAGTGCATAATTATACTTACGGAAATTTCTTCCAAAAATGCGGTTACTTTAACAATATTGTCATTTAAGAACTCGTTAAGAACAATCATAAAAGGTTCTTTTGCACCAAAAAGTACGTTATTTGCGAGATTTTGAATAACTTTTGTAATTAATAATAATGTCCTTCGAATTTTTAAATTTTCAATAGGTTTACATAGGTTTTCACTATCTGGAGATACGATTGCTGGATTAAAGAAGCGCAAAAACACAAACGCCCCCACTGTAGTACATTTTGCACGTGGATATTTTCCTTCAACGGAACTACCTATATAATGGCATACTTGACGAAAAGTCCTAAAAATGACAAAATCAATACATATCCTTATATTAAAACATCCTTTAATTAGCTAACGGACTTACCTAGGCATATTCGATCCGGAGTCACAAATACCATCCAAGAAAGCTTGAGCTGTGGTCTTAAGATTGATTAAATTTTTATTAATGTCCTCCCCAGGAGGAATATTATCAGAATTCAGTTCGCAGCTGAAATCACTGGGTTTACTAAGAAGATCATCTATCAATGGTTGTAAGGTATAACGTAAATACTCGGCACCGTGAATTTTAGCAAAAGCAGCCAACATGCGCGTAGCCATGCAATTGCGCCGGAATAAGTCAGACTCGTATTCTAGCCATAAACAAGATAATATTACATTAAGTTTAACAACTTTATTTTATAAATAAGAAAAAGCATCTATACCTGTACTTAAGACTTCTTTTTCAATGACGCCTTTCAATAGGGGCATAGTTTTATTTCGAGAATCAAAAACGGACAAAAGCACTCGGGAAACATCATCTATGTCAGAAACCGGACAAACTTCGCATAATGATAACGCGATATTAAGGTCTGATTCCGTCATTAGCTAAAATAAAAGATATATACAAATGATATATATAATGATATATATATAATGGTATATATAAATGATATATATAATGATATATATAAATGATATATATAAATTATATATGTAAATGATATATATAAATGATATTTATAAATAATCAATTTTTAATTAAACTATATCTGATAATGCTAAACATATTTTATACAATATATATATACCTCAACAAGTCTATCGTATCGATCATTCATTGCATTTTCTGCAAGACCCTCGAATTCAGTACCTTGATTAAGAATATTGGTAAGGACTTGCATAAATGCAGTTCTAGTCTTGGTGTCTTCATGATATCCCATTGATAGTGAAAATTTCAGCCCAGAGTCCACATTAGCACTAAGCAAATTGCTTAAAGCTAAAATTGTATAATCTTTCAAAGGTCCTAAGTCCTTTACATATTCCCTAGACTATATAATTGAATAATTCTATGTGAACTGTTATCAGATACTACACAAGTATATATATTTAAGTATTTTGAATTTATTTTTACCCTGGTTAGCAACATTTGTAAATCCTGATTATTTCTCGCTGAATGTGTTCCACTATCAATAGCCTATAGTATCAAGACTATAAGTTTTTTGGAAAAGAAAAAAAAGATCGACAAACAAAACGAAAACATGCCTCAAGAATTCTGCATCTGTTTAGTAACTTAATAAAGAATGAAAAATATTTAAAAAAAAGCCGAGATTTTACACCACTAATTTCAGCTTCATGCACTGTTTCTGATGGTTGTAATGGTAATTGCGCTAATAGTGAAACAATTGTTTTTAAGCATGCTTGGTCCAAATCTCGGTGTAACCTTTCACTCTTATTTGAAGGATTTTCGGTATTGCCTTGGCCATCTGTTCTCTATTAAAGTTTATAGTATCAATATTTTAATCCCTGTAAGCATTAAATAAAGAAATTATCAAAAGTACCATTGAGTAATCCGAAGTCCATTCAATAAATATTTCCAGCAGCCTATTACGCAATACTATTTCTTGGCGAAGTGTTATATAGTCCTTTTTTAACATTAACGTATCTGCTAATTGACACATTCTCTTTTTAATCCGTAATGCAACATGACCCGCACCCAGTCGATTTAAATATCGAGCAAAAGATAAAACTAGTCCTCCAAGGTCTAGCGCATATAAATTTTCAGATGCATCTTGAATACGATCTAAAATGAGTTTTAAAACGGATATAGCCTGTTCCACGGCAAGTGTGTTTTTGTCTGTTGTATATACATCTCCTTCACCATCAAAAAATTGAGATACAATTGATTCAACATGCTTAAAGAGAATTACATATAGTCTTGGACTCAATTCCGAGCCGAGAATTTCTTTAACACTTTCGCGAACATACACAGAATCGCATACGAGCAAATCTACCATATCATGAACGTATTTTTCAACCATTACATGATTTGATTCTTGCGATGTAGTTGAACCATTTATTTGTTTGTCAAAAACGCAACACCCTCCTAAAGCCGCTAAAAATCCAGTATAATTGTGCCATTCCGTCATTTGTGACTGTTATCAAGATTAAACCCACTTTTAATATTTATGAAATTACTCTAAAATTTTTAAATGTAACATTATTTAATTTACCTCAGATATTGCGTTAGCATTTATACCTATATTTCTTACTGAACCACCCCAGGGAATGAGACCTCTCTCTCTTTCAACAGGTGGTGGATCTTCAATTGGCCTCGCAATCAATCCAGTAAGTGATTTCCAACGTTTATATGCCTCTTCCCACGCAGCAAGATTACCAGTAGTAGGTACTTTCATTAAACGTAATAACCTGCGGATACGCTTCTGCTGTGCCATTCGGCCTAATGTATTTATATATTATTATTGCACTTTATTTTTTATTTTTTTATTTTATTTTATTATTATTTTTTTTTAATTGCAGCAATAGTATTAGATTATTTTACCTGGAACTACGTAAGACGACGAAGACAATTCTAAATATACATCCATATTTTCTACAATTGGTAATTCAGATGGAGGTGCTGATTGTACATCAACTTCATCAGACATAAGTTCCGTAGTCAACTGAGCTTCAATACATAAATGACGGAAACAATTCACCGCCATTTGACATATATCCGTATCTGCAGAACACAATAACACTAATAAAGCAATTTCCAATGCAACATTGCAACCGAGACGTTCAGGTGCATTAATTCCAACATTCGTTTCATCCTATTTGGTATGAATTAAATAACGAACTTTTAATAATATAGATTTACTGGTTATTCAATTAAAACTAGTTATGACATACCTTATGAGCTTTCAGAAATTCGTTTCGACGATTGAAGAGTTGAAGTAAAAGTTCAAGCAAATACTTTGTTCCTTCATCACGTTCTTTGAAATCCAAAATTTGTCGAGAAATAACGAGCATTACTTGGGAGCTTTTTTTTTTAAAAAAAATAAATAACAAATAGAATGATTAATAAATTGATAAATTAAGATTTAAATGTTCAATATAATATCTTTCTTTACCTAATTGTCCAAAAATTACGCATTTTTCGATCCTTTGGACCCCATTGTTCAATTAGTTCCATATTATGCAATTCTAACAAAGTTTCTGCTGCAGTGGTCCGAATTGCACTATTATAATCATTAACGCATAGAGTCATTCCATGAATAACCAACCGAATCTCCTCAGGGTTTTCATTAGGATCACTATACTGTTCGAAATAAATTCAATAAATTCAATTAAAATATGAAAATGTAAAATTTTAACAAACATACTAACCACAAGAGCAAGCATAGGATCCGATTTGTATAACTTCAATATATTTAATATTATTTCCATTTTTTCATTCAACTCATCTGCTCTATCTCTTGGTAACCTCCTTCTTCTTGGATCATTATTTCTATCTCGACTAGCAATGTATTGATGAAATAATTTACGTAAAGGTACAGCAAGAATTGAATATACCGAAGAAAGATGCGGATTCCAAGGAAACCTATTTTCCTATTAGAATTAGAGAATCATATTAATAACCAAAAATTTATAGCAAAGATTTATTACAAAGATTTATCACAGGGATTTAGCATAAATTTAATAGTAATAAATATCTTACCTCTGAAGCGATAGCATAGCAACTTTTCACTAACACTAATTTAAATGTAGTAGGTGCAGTTTCAGCTAAACAAACTGGAATCAAATTTTCTAAAGTTTCTTTATTTAATCTGAATAAAGCTGTCAAACACTCAGTCATAAGTTTTTGATCAATTTGTTGATCACTTGTAAATGGTCTCCCAGGATCAAATAATTTCAACTATATAAGATAAAAAATATGATAAATAATATATATATATATATATATATATATATATATATATATGTATGTATGTATCTAAAGTTTATAAAAAATTTATTTTAAATAGCTAACTTTACCTGTAGATCTTTTTCAATTTCAGGAACTAATGACCTTAAAGCGGAAGCTTCATTCTTGGCAATATAGGTGGAAGCTTTACATATATCGACATAACATACTGCAGCGACATCAGCAAGTCGAGGTTTCTTTAAGGAATTTCTTAAAGCCTCAAGAAACGTTGCCTGAAAACATACGGATAATAAGCAAATAATAATAATAATAATAATAATTAAAAGATTTTAAAAATTTAGATAAGGAAATACCTTTTTTGACGTTAAGGAAGGACGTTCAATCATAGAAGCATTCAAAAGAATATCAGGGCATAATATTAATAACATAGTTTGTAATGGCCAAAAAGTAGCTTTACGACGATTATTATCAGCAAGACTATGACAAATATCAAATAAAATTTCAGGACCACCATCCAATCGTTTTTGGCTTTGACATAGATGTACAAATTCAGCAGGAAAAACTTCAATCCAATTCCAAATAGCTTTTCGTAGAACATTGGCCATTACAGTTTGAGCGGATTTTTTAAGATGTAAAAATGAACCACATAATTCTTTAACAAAAAATTATTTATTATTTTATTAGCATATAATATATATAAATATATATTTATAAATAATAAATAAATTAATAAATAACTAAGGTTATCAAGAATACCTTGTAAAACCATGGACAACCTTTTCGAATTTAGGTCAGAGACCTCTAATAATTTTAATTCAGCAGTTTCAGGCCAATCATCATTTGTTGAAGTTAAATACCCAATACGATTTTTAATTCTAGAGAAAACTACATGCCAATTTGAAGCACTAATATAAAATATAACACGTCCAGCATTTTTATAAATTTCAGAAATGATATCATGAGTAGCAGCGGAAAATTGAACATTAGGGTTATTAGGTTGTTCTCTTTGAGGTTGACTACTTGAAGGACCATTTGGAATATTTGGGTTATTATCTTCATGAGTTACAAATTGATGAAGGAATCTAGATAGTACGCTCAAAATGTATTTAGCAAGTGGATCTTCCAAGGGTGGAGGATCATCCCACGACCTTGGTAATTTCTGTTGTTTTTGATCAATTTTTACAGGTTGAGGAATATTTTGAGTTGTAGGAGAGGAGATAGAAACAGGATCATTTATTGAATTATTAGTAGATGGAATCATTTGAGCAGCTTTTGACAGGGTTTCTATCTCACGCTGAGCTCCTCTATAATATTTCCAATGATTTGTCATACAAGCGGATAGAATTTTTAGGATGAATAACTGAGATTGAAGAACATCAAAAGGGACGAAATCTTCCAAGACCATTGACGATGACTATTTAATTGAAAATTTTCACTTAATAAATTAATAAAAAATTATCTTTTCTTATTTAATAAGCCAGGTATTCGGATTTCACTATAACCTTTCTTACAAAATAATAAAGATCTTGAAATTGATAGAAGAATAGCAAAAATCATGGCATAATTCATAAAATCGTTCATTGATGCCATATCAACAAAAAATAAAATAAAATAAAATAAAAAAAATAAAAAAAAAGATAAAAAAAATAAAATAAAAATAAAATAAAGAATATAAACAATAAGAATAATAAATACCTTGGATATAGTCTCTAATAGTTGTGTTAAATTATTAGCTATAGTGCTAAGTTTATACCTCGATAAATCTATTATTGAGTTTACGGTTTGTAAGATAAGGGGATCTGATTCCAATACATCTAGTTTTTTTCCACTATTACATGGTAACTATTCAAATGTCGAGAAAATTAGAATTAATTGATAAAATTAAGCAATAAAATTCGAGAATTATTTAATTTACCTTAAGACTTATTCTATTTATCAATGATAGTATTAATTTTGTATCTCCGTTCATCTTGGTAATTTTCTTACACTAAAAAATTAAATTTCCACTTGCTATCTAGGTATTTAATTCGAAAAGTCGGGTAACTTTGGTAATAACACCAAAAGAAAGAGTGTCAAAAGATTCTACAGGGAGATAGTTTGTTAAGAAGGGAAAAGTAAGAGAAAAGACATGGCTTGTTAAAATTAACAGATAAGGTTGATACGTACATAGGTACCAATGTCGTACTAGCACACGTAAGTTGGTGCCTGTGTTACATAGCAGCTCATTGGCTAGAATATTTGACATATTAAATGTGAACCGAAAGATCAACCGAAAGAATTGACTTTTAGATTTATTAAATACATGTGCTAGTCTTGTTTACTAAAACTATTACTGGAAAATCTGTTTCCATTCAAGAAAGAATAAGCTATGATTGGTACATCAATGTAGGACAATAAAAATTGCTACTACTTTATTCATAAAACAGTTTTTGAAGTTTCACAACAGACAATGCAACGGGTTTTGAAAAAAATACTGGACTTGACGCACTAACTGACACTTTCCTGGTTTTGAATCAAACCCGATACTTTTGGTATGAAATCATCAATTGACGCGTCTGCAACCCAACTTGTTTACGTTAATAAGAAACAAGGGTCTTGCTGGAGTATAACGATATGCCATAGTATGCATTATTAAGCATTTAAATTCAAATTTATTAAACATCCAAATAAATATGTACATGTGTGCTATTCCCTGGAATGACATCATGATGTTCGATCAAATTCTTTCTCTAACTTATTCTCATGTCCCGTGCGTTTTATAATAACTATTGTATGATGTGCCAAAGTATTAGGCGCTTGGATCAAAAATTGATATATATACCATAGGAAGTTTTTTAATAATTTTATTTCAACTATAACTCAACGTGGATGGTAAAATACCACCAATAACTTATTCGTTTATAATAAGTTCTACGTTGCGTGATTTAAGATTTTGAAATGTTGAAACAATTCAAGTTTACTGCGCCATTATCATATTAACTTTTTATATTTACAGTATGTATTAATAAAATTAGGCATCGTAAATCGTATACGTACCAGGTATGTATAAATAATCGTAACTATACCATATATAGTATCTATTAATATCTGTTGGCGTTATTAACAGTAAATAAATAATTGCATATATATATGTCTAGCGTTAGCGCTAGTATTTATTTTTCCCTTTTCTAAGCTAGACCCACTCTTGTTCCATTGTCATGTGATTCAAAGCATATTCTTGGCGCATCTCGAGGAACCCAACATAAAATTATTGTAATTCAAGAGCGGTTAAACCGTTTTCAATGACTTTAATAATTCTTAAAAGTTTCACATTCTCGAGATATCAATGCCCATTTAAATAACCTAAAAACAGCTGATTAGCGATCAGGTTTACAATAAATAGAGTTCACGTACTCAAAGAAATTTATTATCAAACCTTTAATTACCGTTACAGTAATTCGATTCTATTTTTTTAGGCATCATTGTATTATTGATTAAATATATAAATTTATAATACATGAAATATATGTCGCATTATTATTTATTATTGAATAATAAATGACATAAAATTGTTACTTTGAACACCTTAATTATCATCCATTAATTATATTCTATCAAAGAAATTAGTCTTAGTCAAATACTTATAAAAATTTGATTAATGCTATGCTATACATGCCAGTCGCGGTTGTGCCGAAAGTAGAAATGAAGCCGCAAGTCCTAATTTATGCCGCAATCGAAACAAGCTAAAATTATTAACGTAGTGTATAGTTATGTAATTTACACGTGACAATTATTAATACTATTGCTATGAACTCTTTATTTCTTATTTATTATTATGAAATACATTTACTTAATAATGCTCAAATATTTCGGCTTTCCACTCGCATTTTGCACCATAATCTTTGCGTTTTTCTTTTTGGATATAATAATTCCACACTTCTTTCGGTGGTTGTATTTTTAGATGACATAACTTGCATATTTGTATAAAGTAAAGATTATTAATAAATCAAATTATTTAAATAAATAAAATATACTTTTATTTTTTATTACATCACTCATCAATCAGGGATATATCAATTACCGTATTTCTGCGACATGTGTACCCGGAGTATTATGCTATGTACCCGGGTACTCATATGGGTTAACATTGCCCGGGTATATACCGGTAAGTATGATTGATACCTTCACGCTTATACTGTATACCCGGGTATAAATCAAATTTTGGTATCCGCAGGGGGCTAAGGTTAACAATTAGGTGGCCGGATTTTGTATTGCCGGTAATTTCTAAATTAAGGTTAGATTTTCATATTCG